AACTGAAATGTGTGTTTTGGCAGTGTGTACACAACCACCCTATAATGATGAAGATCCACCCAGTGCTTTATTTTGTTCTACTAAAATCTTTACCCCTTTCTCAAATCAAGCCGATCTCAGATGCCTGTCTGTGTGACGTCACACAGACAGGCCCCTCCCACGATAGTTTGATTGACAGTAGTGTTTCAGCACAGACTGGACTGGCGTCTTAGCTCCGCCCTGAGTGACTGTCATCAGTCCACCATTGTTTCACCGCCGGAGCAGATGTAGACAAGAATGACTCCTAAGCGACTGAGGTGTTCTGTTGTTGGATGTAATAATGAACAGCAGTCGTCATTTACTCCCGACATCTGAGCTGCTGTTTTTGACAGGGTAAGAAATGTGTGTTTTTTACACTACCATTGAGAAATTTGAACCAAACTATGTTACAGACTTTTCATTAAGACCCTAAAGAATCATATCAACTTGTGGAAAATGGGCATCCGATGACCCCTTTAAAACTCTATTCATAATTGTGTACAATTATTTAATGTCATCCTGGTATCGCGGACTCGCTCTCGTTTCATACAAACGCAGCTGCTGCCATTCTGCGACGATTGTTTTGTACGCTGTAATGGATTATAAGATAACTAACAAACTGGTAAGATTTTAAAATCCCCATTGAGCAACCCCCAGATTTAGGCTTCTTAGGATTATAAAAAAGATGTAGCGCAGCTTCCTTCCCTTAACATTCGTTCCTCCCTAAAACCCAAACCTAACGTCAGAATCTGCACAACCGGTGATTGTTGTAAAATGCCGTCTTTACTGTTGCTAAATTGCAGGACATGTTTGATAAAATGTTGAGAGCACAATAATCCGTGCAAGAGACGCTGGCTGATACGTGTGCGCTCCAATACGGACCGCAGTAGATAAGCAAGTTACGCTTTGGGCTTCGGTTGATCAAATGCACACAAACTATGTCCAAATGGCCCGCTTGGAGAGTGTTCACTTAAACACGGTTTATGTCTTAAGTGGACGTGAACGTCTGGGAGAAAATCTGATGCGTGTCGATATATATTGTGTTAAAGTGAGCGCAGTGACTGGGCCATCAATGTTAATCAAACATTGCTGACCTGAACAGTAATGTTAGTACACCTTCATGGACCAATTAAAGCACTGTTTATTTCATTTGTATCTTTGTTTTATTGTATTTGTCAGTTTGTTTTTCTTTGTTAATTTTCATACTGTATCTAATCTTATGTATATAAAGCACTAAAAATGCCTGCACACTGGTGCATTTACAAATTGATGTTCTCATTTCATTTAATATTTATTTTACATTTCAGAGTATAAAGCAATGGTAATTCAGCTCTTAATTTGTCTCTCATATATATATATATGCATGCCACCTTCACGATACTAAGTGTGTGTTTTCACCAGGGTTCTGCTGTCAATAAGTTCTATGTGCACAATGACATCTTCCGCTATGAAGAAGAGGTGTTTGGAGACTCTGAGGCTGAGCTGGGAGGTAAAACTACAGATCGAACTCACACTCTCTCACACACACACACACAC